AATTCAAAAGTTTGCAAAACCAGCCTTTGCCTGTGGGATAGCTGGGCAGACGGGCCCAGAATAGCTGGGTTGGCAGGATGTTAGGGCCCCAGTGGGAGACGCCATGGAGCTGCTAATGACATGCTGTGTTGCCCAACTGCAGCGAGGCCTCACAACCCTCTCCAGCATTCAGAAAACAGCAGCAGGGATGGCATGGCCAGGGAGGAGGAAAGAACTGCCAAAGGGGGGCTGGAGAGATGGCTCAACATGGCGGGGGGGGGGGGGGGGGGACGGCGGGGGAGGGGAGGCGAGGGTGGTGGTGGTGGTGTGTGGAACCTGCTGGATAAGCATGGGGACTGAGTTTTCAAAGGAAATCAGGTGGAGGGTGACAGCATCCTCCTCCGGCCTCTGCTTGTCTGGACACACACACACACACACACACACACACACACACACACACACACACAGACACACACACATTCAGACACACAGACACACACACATTCAGACACAGACCAAAAAACACCAAACAGATACACCACATATACACTCACATACATATAGACACAAAAATAAACAGATAAACAGCACTACAATATGTCAGGGCACAGAGTGTGCCCTCCATGGTGGGCTGCAGGAGACTCTCCCGTGACTTTCCTGTCCTTCTCCAGGAGCTGCCCTGGTCTAAGAAGAGAGAGCCACTTACCTGGGAATGGGAGTAAGCCTTTGATGGTCTGACACAGACACCCTTGGGTAGGAGCAGCCCCTAGGGAACTCAGGGCGGAAGCAGCTTAGGCTCATTTGGGAACTTGACAGGAAGCCCCTGGAGGAGTACTTGGTCTTGATGTCTGTCCCATCCACTCGGGGCGACGATGACATCTGACCCAGCCACAGCTGACCAGGCACTGCTGCTGACTTGGGTTGGTTTATTGGTTGGTGCGTTTCACCATGGCCCTTGCCTCAGCCTGGAGGGAAGGCTTGGGCTACTGGGAAACAGGCTCTGGGATGCTTGTGGCGGGGATGGAGGGAGACCAGAAATTCTGCAAAGCGTTCCCTGCCTTGCCAAACTTCCTGTCTTTCTTCCAGTTTCAAAGCAGAAATGAAATTGATGACAGAGGGCTTTAGGAGCCTAGCAAACTGTCCGGCTCAGTGAGACATTTTATTTCTTCGATGACACTGGCGTGCCTTGGCCTTTGGGATCTGGCCTTGTGAGTCCCTTTGTCTGTTTTCCTGTTGAGTTGCGGGTTGCGATGACACCCTTCGGACACACTCCATCTCTCTTCCCACCCCTTGGAACTCGGCAGCCTCTCAGCCTTCTGGCCCTCGGGCATCGTGGGAAGCCGTGGGTTTCCTTTGCTGTGTTTAGCACAAAGCTTCTCCTCTCCCAGTTTCCACCGCAAAGAAAATGAACAAGCCCCCTTTCAGATCTCTTGGGAGATGGGGGGTTCGGCCTAAGAGGCTGGAAGGAGAGAGGTTATACTTAGAATACTAGTAGTTATCGTGGGTATCCTAGCGTTCTGTCCACCTCAGCAATCTTTTTACTAATCATGTGAGAAAATTCAGGTGTAGGGTGGCTTATCCAAAATTCCCCAAAATACGCCAGGCACAGTGGTACACATACACAGTCCCAGCAATTGGGAGGCTGAGGCAGAGGGATTGCTATTAGTAGGAAGCCAGCCAGGGCTAGTGAGTGAGGCTCTGTCTCAAAAGAAAAACCAGAAAGAAGAATGGGGAGTTATTTGCTAAATGTTTCTTTGCAAGCACCAGGACCCAAGTTCCAGCCCAGAATCCATGTTTAAAAAAAAAAGAAAGAGCAAAGCTACACAGAGAAACCCTGTCTCGAAAAACCAAAAAAAAAAAAAAAAAAGAAAGAAAGAAAGGAAGGAAGGAAGGAAGGAAGGAAGGAAGGAAGGAAGGAAGAAAAAGTATGGTGAAGGGGTTTATAGTCCAGGTGCTGGGGAGGAGACAGGCAGAGTTAGGACTTGCTGAGGAGCCAGCCCTGTCTACTCGATGGGTTCCAGAACAGTGAGACTGTGGATTAAGACCCAAGGTTTCCCTCTGACCTCCACATCCATGCTTACACACATGAGTATGCACTGGAACACACATGTACATACACACACACACAAGTAATTCCGTTTGTTTGTTTACTTATTTGTTGACACAGTGTCCCATCTAACTATGTATCTCTGACTGTTCTGGAACTTGCTACATGGACCAGGCTGGCCTCAAACTCATGGGGATCCACTTGCCTCTGCCTCTCAAGGGCTGGAATTAAAGATATGTGCCACCATACCTGGCCAATACATATAATTAAAAAACAAAACAAAACAAGTCAACTGCCTCCCACCCAAATCTCCCAAATCCAAACACAGATCTGAAACCTTGGTCTCTCCTAAGTTTGACAGCAACTTGGTAGTACAATGTGACTTGAGCTGTCTTGCAACAGCATGGCCTTCATTTATTGCCCTGGAGAATAGTCAAGTGCTCGGGGCTGCCCCAAGCCGCCTGGGTGAGCTGCTTTCTGGGAAATTTCCACCTTACTCTGAGTCCATGTGGCCCAGCTGACTACAGATCAGAGACTTGGAGCCCATCTTTGCAATACCCACAAGGAACCAAGCCTGTGAGTTTGGCTACCATTCCCCAGGCTGGGTTGAGGGAAAGACACGGGGCCAGGATGCAAAACCTCATGTTGGAATGAGTCAGCTGTGTAGACTGCCTGTCATCTGGTGTATTTCTAGAATGTTCTACTGTTTGGGGCCTTCTAGTTGGCGTCTCAGAATTTCATTAGAGAGTGTTGCCATCTTGGATGTGTGGGGTGAGGGCAATTCCTCTGCCTCCACTTCTTTCCCTCTCCTGAGCCACATGCCCAGCTTTAGGATATTGCCGTGAGCAGGTCTTCCTGGAGCTGAGCCTTCTGGGTAGGACCACGCAAGCTGTACTGCTAAACCCACCCTTCACAAGACTTTGGAGGCTCTCTGTTGTCACCGCAGCAGCCTAGTAGGGGTTAAGTGGTCCTTCTGCTTCTGCTGGCTGCTCTCCCTGGCATCTCTACTGCAAAGGATGTGGGGGACAGAGTGACAGGGGACAGAGCGGGTCCATGTGCTGGGTGGGAAGCTTCACATCACTCACAGGAATGAGAATCTTATCCCTGTGTTTTCCTATATCGATAACCAAGAATGCGGTTTCACTCTGCCTTAGATATGTGCTAAGCAACAGGAAGTATCTTGCTAGGCCAAGGCAGGTCACATCTCTGGCGGGAACACATGTACTTATTCTCGACATGCGTCCTTAAGTGGCACCGCCCCCTCCCCCCTCCTCCGCCCTGTGGGTACCAAAGGGCTCAGCAACATCTCTCTTTCTCATGGGGTTGGCACTTGGACTTAGAATTTCTGGAGAAGCCTGTGGGAATTCACAGGCTGCTCCTTGCCATCAGAATCTGCCCTCTTGTCCTTCCATCCATCCCTGCCCCTTCTGGGATCTGCCCTCTACTGATCCATGCCTGGCCTTTGGATGAGATGATGGGGGTACTGGGCTCGTTCTCTCCTGCCTCCACGCTTTGATTCTGTTGGCCCCTTTTTCGTGCTGACACAAGGGAGAGTAGCCAAGTGCAGCTTGTTTATTTTGCTTGGGATATCCCAAACTAGCATCCCTAATTTTACATCTCCCGCCTATAGAGAGGAGGGAGGAAGGGAAGGGTGGGAGGGAGGAAGGGATAGGGGAAGGAGAGAGAGAGGAGAGAGAGAGAGAGAGAGAGAGAGAGAGAGAGAGAGAGAGAGAGAGAGAGAGAGGGCGCTCAGAGACTGATAGCATTAGGGCATTTTCTCCTCTCTCTTATGGGTTGTGATAAGATTCCAGAGCAAGCCATCTGACTCAATGTTTGGGGACGGAGAACAGGAGGGACTTTTCCATAGAAGCCTGGGGTAGTATCCCCACGGGAAGAGACTCACAAGGGCATGTGTGTAAGATTAAGAAATTTCCAGAGCGGAGCTGCCTAGCAGAGGCTGAGCACTGCACTCCACTGCACTCCACTGGAGGACCTGAGCCTTCTGGAGGCTGCCTGCTCACCTTTGCCTCATAGGGCTCTCTAGACTCTGAACAAGTGAGCCATCCCCTTCCAATATGTGCTTGCATGAACACAAAACCTGCCATTCTTTTGCAAAGGGATTATGGATGTCCCTAAACCTACCCATGAGTCCCTGGATTGCAAGTAGATGTCCTGCTGGAACGTGTCTCAGATGGGCCACTGTTTGGAGTCAGGGTTGCCCAAATGCCTAAGTCAACTCCCTAACCACGAATTAACTTCAGATTCTCAGCCTTTTTGCAGTTCTCTCTCCTGAGTGGAGCACCCTTGTCCTGGGCTCCCGGCCACCTCCACATCTGGAAAGACCTCTAGATAAACAGAAGTGTTCATCCCCATCTCCTCCAAGCCTGCGCTAGCTCCCCAGGGTGTCCAGAAGGAGGGAGCACCAGCCAGCCAGCCAGTCGGGCACACACACAGTTAATCTTCTGCGGCTGCTGTTTGGATAAAAAGCGCTAGGAGCGTTCTAGGCTCCTCAGCAGCTCACATCTGGCTGGGGTTTGCTCTTTGTATGGGTCCCGCTTTCTTCCTCTCTTCCTTTACTTTTGAGAGAAACCACGTTTCCGCTTCTGGCCAAAGAGACCTTGGAGGCAGCTGAGGAGATAAAGGTGTTGGGACCGCTGTGGCTTGCACCGCCCCCTCTTCCTCACCCTTAAGTCCCCCCCCACCCCACCCCCAGGGACTTTTTTCTCCCTCGGGCTCACTCTCTCTTCTCTCTCCCTCTGCTTTGACGCATCTATGCTTCCCCTCTGACCCGGCCTAGAAAAGACTCAGCCCCCGAGAGATGCTTTAAGAGTCAGCGTCCCGAGAGCCCCAGTGGCGGGAGGATTCGGTTGGCACCGTCGGCTCACCGTCGGCTCAGCTGGACGGAGGTAGGTGGCTTGGCAGTCGGACAGACCAGGAAGGACTCAGTGCCTCTGAGCTCTGTCTTCGTGGCTTCGTCTGGGTGCCAGAGCAGAGTTGAACAGACACCTTCCCTGTGGTGAGATGTGAGGTGGTGCCTACGGCGAAGGGGCAGACGGAGCAGAGGAGTTTGGGGGACAGCGTATGCTGTTCTCACTAACTCCCCCTGCTCAGACTGGCTCTTCCCAGGCAGCCGCTGGGGCTGCCTGGAGCGTGCAGGAGGCGGGCTCCTTGGCAGATAGGATGCTGACAGGACCAACTGCACCTTCTCTCACTGTTTGGTGGGGTGTCTCTTTTTTCCGGGTGCTTTTTAGAGGATGTGGAAGGAGAAACAGCATTTCTGTTCCCACTGACACCACGCTGTCCCTGCCAGATCACCTGGGCCCACTGGATCCAGGTCTAGACCATCTGTCAGTGGTCAGCCGGAACCCCAACACTGAACAGGAAGTGTGGACTTTGGCCCCCTCTTCTAACAGCTGTTTCTGGATGGCATCCAGCCTGGGCAGGAAAAAACAAATATCCCTTCTCTATGGACCTTCCTGGGAAGTAAAGCTGCCTATCTTGCTAAGAGTGGCCAGAGCTAGGGCTGCAGTCTCTAAGATGCCCCGGGATACCTTTGCACGGCCCACATCCACCTACTACTCAGATGCCCAGGTGTAGATGTCATCCTGCCTGGTTAACTGGAGCCCACCCTGTCATCTCTGGCCCACCCAGGCTGCTCCCTGCCCTGGAGAGCTGGATTTCTCTGGGGAGCCCTCCCTTCCCTCTTCTGTTACTCCCTGCCCTGCCCTTATCTATGGGGAGGGGGCGTGGAGGGGCTGCCTCTCTGGCTCCTTTCTGCCCTGTCTTCCCTGTTTCTCAGAATGGGGACTACGGAATATGCTTCTCCAACTTTGGGTTCGAGATGTGGCTCAGTAGTGCGGGGTAGTGCCCAGCACGTGAAAGGCCCAGGGTTGCATCCCCAGTAATGGAAACAACCAAATACCAACTGTGATTTTCACTGAGCGTGTTGGCAAGACTGTGAGGCAGGCGGGAAGGCTGCTGTGAGTCTGGGCCGCTGTCCTGAGCCAGATAACCAGCTGAGGTCAGCCCAGGCTATATAGTGTGAGGTGCTGTTTCAAAGTAACAAAAAGAAAAGAAAAACAACAACAAAAAGAAAGCCAAGACACGTCACTGGGATGCCCCTGGGAGTCAGTGAGGTCCTTAGAGACTGCCCGGGCTCTGCTTTTTATAGTGCGCTGACTGCACCAGGGTGGGAGAGCCTGCTCCATGCTCACAGGAGAGGAGGAACCTGCAGAGGGAAACCGAGGTCACCTCGCCTGTGCCTCACAGCTCTGTCCAAGGCCCTGCCTGCAGCCAGCGCAGGAGGAAGCATCCCAGCTAAATGGTGTCTTCACTACCCAAGACTCAACTTGGAGTCTCTGCTCAGGCAGGAGACGCTGCGCTTTTCAACTGTCCCTTTTCACTTCCTAAAAACTTACACATACACATTCCCCCCTCCATCTCTTATCCCCTGTGAAGTCAAAAGAGGTGTTCTTAAGTTCCTAGAGAGCAGGCTAGCCCAGGAAGCCTGGGGTAGGCCCCACCAGCAGGCCTGTCCTGGAGCATGAGGGCAGTTCACTGCTCATTCCTGGCTGTAACCTCCCTATTCAGAGCGACTAGCACAGCATTAATTTTTTCTGAACACACTCCTTTCTGTTATTCTTCCTGGTGCCTTCCCCCTGCCCCGCCCCCGTAATTAGCATGACTCATAAACCAAATATTCTGGCATTGAACGTCACCCATCAAAACAAAGATGAAAAGAATTTCGTAGAAACTACGGGCCGTGCCTCAGGGCACGCTCACCCATTTGCTTCTTATCCACAGGTCAGGCCCTTTTGTGGGTCACAGTTCCTAGGGCTGGGAGTGGTTGAGGCTCCAGGGTTAAGGAGCCGGTGAGGTGGCTGCGTGAGGCCGGAAGGGCAGGAGAATATCTATCCACTGAAGGCTGCTGCTTCTGCCTGGAGGGACGGGCTGTTTGGGAACAGCCTGGGCACTGGCCTTGAAGGACCCAGAGATACTGGAGCCCGGGTGGTGGCTCCAAAGGACTGCTATTTTCTCTAGTTTTAGTCACTGAAAATCTGCCTTCCACTGCTGTCAAGTGGCCCACAGTGGCTGTCTGGACAGGACCCTGCCACCTCCCTGACTCATTCATGAGGTGCAAGAGACGTTCTGGCTTCTCCAGAGAGCAGTTTCCTGAGAACCACACATGTCTGCTGATGCTGCTCTGGCTGTGTCTCAGGGCCCTCCCTGCCCTGGGTCCTTGCCCTGGCAGAACCTCTGGTGGGAGACTGCAGTCTTGGAGGCCTTCAGAAGTGGCTCCTCTTTCCCTCCTCCCCAAGCAGGAAGGGACATGCCGATTCCCTGCAGGCCTGTTTGGGAGGAACAGGCCTGTACACAGGGCCTGTTCCTCCCCAAGTCAAGGGCGCTGTGTCTTGGAGGCCTGGTTAAGAGGCGATGGTATTGTGCTGGTGTCCTGCCAGCAGTAGCTCTTCATGTACCAGTCGGTACCCATCGTAAGCCACCCTTCCTGCCCTCATTGGGTACAAGTAGGGGTTTGGTACCCCATCACCACTGTTCACTGGGCATTCCTAGCCTGCTTCTGAGGCCTTTGCATACCTACAGTCTCCTCCATGGGCACCTCCATACACCACTGGGAATCCACGCACTAGCTGGGGCTCTGTGTCCTACTATCCTCCTGGCCTCTGAAGGAATTTCCCTTGAAATGAGACAGTTGAGCAGAAGACAGTAGGCAGGCAAGGAGCTGAAGCCCCGGCAGCAAGGATGGGAGAAGAGCCAGGCAGGCAAGGAGGATGGTGCAAGGAAGCCGAGTTCCTGGTGCCCAGGGCTGGGCCAGATGTGCTCCTGGCTGCTGTGGCCACATGTGGTGGAGAGCCTCACATCCTGGGGGCTGCAGCTTCTCCGTACCCTGGGGCATCTGGTTACCAGCTGCCTGCTGCCCTGGGTACCCGGGAAGGAGAAGACGTCCCCAGGGGAGCTCACAGCCATGGGTGGGCTTAAGGATGATGCAGGCCAGAAGCTAGGCTGGGTCTGCAGTTCTCTCCCTTACATATCTGGGGCTGGCTCTTCATAGCTAGGGTTGTTGCTGAAGTTGTTAGGGTCAGAGCCTGGGCCCCTGAAAGCCTTAACAAGCAAGGTTCAGCCTCTGTCCTCAATAGACCAATCAAAGGAACAAATAGCGAAAACAGACAGGTTGATTCATTAGGAAGAACAAATAAAGAGAGCCAGTGGCCTCCCAGTCTGTCTTTGGGGTCCCGACGAGAGATTTAGATTTAATTAGAGGGCAAGAAGTGTGCAGAGCTAAGCTGTTGCAGTCAAAGCATGACAATCAAGGTGTGGCCCTGTCCATCACTGTCCCATTATTGTCTTGGCCCCTGTAAGATGGTGTGACAAATTGTCAGACGGTCTGAAACCTCTCCCTAGGGGACAAGATCCTCTTCTTGTTGGCACCAGGCTTCCAGCCCTTCCTTCTCCAAGTAAGAGATACCTGAGGAAACCCCAATTTTGTGGAGTCACACAAATGGCCAAAGGGAGGAGCACACGGGTCTCTTCAGAACGTCTTCATTTTTGCTAGGATGCTGAGCTGGGTTCTGATAGCCGAGTTCTGGTGGGAGACGGGAGGAAGGTTTGGGGTGCTATGGGGCGCCTGAGTCTTGTGGCATGCAGAGCCTCTCCCTTCCTGGGCCTGGAGCCCCATGAAGACCCATCTATGAGAAGGAGACTGTAGGGTCTGTAATTCCTAATGGTACTTGAGCAGCCCCAGCTGCTGGGGAAGGGGCCTGCTGTGCAGGCGGAGGCTGCTGGAGCCCTGAGGTCTGTTGTGGGACTGACTAGGTTAGAGCCCAAGCCACCCCAACCCTTGTGGTCTCATTTTTTAGTCTTCACACTTCTACCTAGTGGATCTCTGGTAGTGTCCATTCATAACTGACTCCTGACATCCCAAGGGATGGGAAGAGAGTGTTCGGCCCTTCCCTCAGTAACGATTCTTCACACAGTTTCTTCTGGCTGACCACTGGGATGGGGCCTCAGGGTCCTCGTGAACCAGAGTCCACATTTGCTTTTATTGCTGTTATTGTTGCTATTATTGACAGGGTCTCGCTATGCTTGTGAGGCTGTCCTGGAACTCAGTATGTACCCTCAGGTTAGCCTTAAACACCACACAATCCTGGCCTCAATCCTGCCTGATGACTCAGGTTGTCTCCTCCATGGGGGCACTGAAAGGAACCCCCGTAACCCTACCCATATGCTTCTCCTTCCGAGCTAACTAACATACTGTTCTCTCTCCACTCTGTTAAAAGCAAGATCCTAAACATGATTCAAGGGATGAGGTGCCTCCCATTTGAATGTGTGAGGGGGCTGTTCTTGGTCATTCTATGCCCAAATCCAAGGAGTTAAACTCTAGGGTCAGGTGTTAGGTGTCAGCTTGCTGGCACCTCAAAGATTTTTGAACATTGACCCAAAGAAGCCAGCGATGGGGCCTGGTGCCCGTACTGTGCCTGGCCTGCTGTAGGTGCTCAGCAGTCCTCTGCTGAGTAAATGATGGCCAGTTCTGTCACCCCAAGGGTGGCCGCTGGCGTGTGTCCCAGCTGTCACTAAGCAAGCTAATCGGGGGGGCACCCCAAACCCAAGCCCAGTGTGTGGGAACTGCTGATGCCCAAGGGAAGGTGAGCATCTTCTTGCTCCAGATGCTTCTAACATCAGCCCACTGCCCGGCATGCTGCAGGCATTCATAAGCACTCACTAAAGGGATAAAATGATGTGAAGCTCAGCCTCCAGCTCCACATGAGCCTAAATGCATCACAGTCCACCCCATCTCCTTTCCTATGCATAGTCAGCTTCCCTGGAATAAACAAAAGGCTCTCTCAGTCCCCAGGGTGGGGCTTATTTTGTCGTTTTCTAAGTGGAAAAT